GGGAAACCCGTCCTCAACCAGTCCGGCCCCACTGAGTTCGTGTTCCGTGTGTTCACCACCGTCCCCGAATTCCGGGCCCTTCTCTTCCTTCTCTTCCTCCTCCTCTACCTGATGATCCTTTGCGGCAACACAGCCATCATCTGGGTGGTGCGCGCACACAGCTCCCTCCGCACCCCCATGTACTTCTTCCTGTCCAACCTCTCCTTCCTGGAAATCTGCTACACCACCGTCGTCGTGCCCTTGATGCTCTCCAACATTTTTGGGGCCCAGAAACCCATTCCGTTGGCTGGATGTGGGGCCCAGATGTTCTTCTTCCTCACACTTGGTAGCACGGACTGCTTTCTCCTGGCAATCATGGCATATGATCGCTACGTGGCCATCTGCCACCCACTGCACTACACCCTCATCATGACCCAGAAGCTGTGCGTGCAGGTGGTGGCCGGCGCCCTGGGCCTGGCCCTCTTCCTCTCGCTGCAGCTCACCGCCTCAATCTTCACCCTGCCCTTCTGCGGGCGCCGCCGGGAAATCAACCACTTCCTCTGCGATGTGCCTCCGGTCCTGCGCCTGGCCTGTGCTGACATCCGCGTGCACCAGGCCGTCCTCTGCGTCGTCGGCATCCTCGTGCTGACCGTCCCCTTCCTGCTCATCTGTGTCTCCTACGTGTTCATCGCCTCCGCCATCCTGCGCATTCGCTCTGCCGAAGGCCGCCGCCGGGCCTTCTCCACCTGCTCCTCCCACCTCACCGTGGTCCTGCTGCAGTACGGCTGCTGCAGTCTGGTCTACCTGCGTCCCCGCTCCAGCACCTCGGAGGATGAGGACCGCCAAATCGCGCTGGTCTACACTTTTGTCACTCCCTTACTCAACCCTTTGATTTACACCCTTAGGAACAAGGACGTCAAAGGTGCTCTGAGGAATGCCATCATCCGTAAAGCGGCCTCTGACATCAGTTGAAGGTTTAGGGGAACTGGGGTGTCTGTTATGTCAATGAACTCTTTGACAATGAGAATTATTTACTTCCCCACACTTTGCACCTGATATTTCTTTTTTTGCCGTACTTGCCCCATGTCCACAATCTGCACTCATTTTCCTGAAGTGCTTTCAATAAGGTGTGAAAATTTGGACAAAACTTTCAATGTAGGAGCTCTAGTCTTTTTAGCCTCACTTTTAGGAGTTGCAGCTCACCGATGGCGATTGCTCTTTCAGGAACTTCAGACATGCTGCGAATAAAGGCTGATGCCTTTCCACATGCTGCCTCCTGAAGAGGCAGTTTATTATATTAGTTTATTATGTTATTATATATTATTATATTAGTTTATTAGAATATTAGTTTGTTCTTCAAAAGGTGCCTTATGTAAGGAATATTCATAAAGACATACATTTTACTCAAAGAAATATATTTTATTATTGTTTTGGATATCAATATATGGCAAACCATAGCTTATTTAATGCATCAATTTCCTTCACACCATACATCCCACTGGTGGCCTTCATTTTCTTTCATTCATGCCAGGAAGGGGACAGGAATTTGCGCTCATTGACTAAACGCCTACTACGTGCCAGCTGTGCTAGGGTATGGAGAACTACATCGGGTCTCGGTGGCGGCACTGCCTGCGTGAGCCCTCTGTGCTGGTGGCTCTCCCCCTAGTCTTTGCTGTTCCACCCGCCTCACCACCTGCCAGGCCTTCCCAATGGATGCTGTTCACAGATTCACCCAGCAGGGGGTGCTAACGTTCCTCCCACCTCAGCACAGTCCTGCCGCATGACCGCTGTTCATCTTCACGTACCTGTGTCCCACTCCAGATAAACCCTCAAGTAGAATCCACTTCCCTCTCTGGTGTTCACAGCAGACACTACGCTGCTCAACCTTCTCATTTACACCCTGAGGAACCAAGAAGTGTAGAGGGTTCCAGGGACAGTTCTTACCAGGAATTACCTCTCCCGGCTAGGGGAGGGCGCAACCCATCATGAAAGAGTCTGGTTCCAGCCCATAGGCTGGATTTAGTTAGCAACTACAGAAGAAAGTGAAGGTATCTGCCAGTAGGTATTAAAATTGACCTCAGAAATTGGTATAAACTTCTTGGATACCATATGGCTTAAATTTACCAAAAGCCTTGAAAATGTTCTTATTTAATTTCATAATTCTTATTCTAAAAACATAACCTCAGAAAATTAATGGAGTCAAAACTGAAAACGTAAGATTTTTTCTTACACTAATAAAATGAAAAGGAATTAAAATCTAATTTGCAACAATATTGGCTACAGACATTTAACAGATTTAAAATCATATTTAAAATCATATTTAATAATAAAGGATAATGTTTATTATTATACCTATAAGTGATAAAATCAAGATTCAAACCTGTATTTACTATAGGAGCCCAATTTTGTGAAAACGTACATGAGTAATGATCAATAGAAATACACCAAAAAATTAAGATTTGTTATCTGTGATTTGTAGAGTTATGAATATTTTTTGATTTTCTTATTTATGTATTTTCCATGTTTTCCAAAATAAAACCATGTTTCTCTTACAATCAGAAAAACGATAATTTCTAAAAGGAATCTGAGGTTCGTGTAGCTTTGCCATATAATTCTCCCATGTTCACAAAAATATGAAAAAATTGGATCCACTTTTCATATTACCTAGATTAGAACCTTTTTATTTTTTGTTTCCCTTTAAAACCGCTTTTGATGCTTTCGATTTTTAAGCTGATTTCATGGGAATAAGGAGAAGAACTACAAAGTATAACTTAGTCTGGGAACAGTCATGGATTTAACAATATGTCAGAAATGCCTTTACTTCTAAGTACAATAGTCCCCTCTTACCCAAGGGCAGTACGTTTCAAGACCCTCAGTGGATGCCTGAAACCATGGAAAACCCTATGTATACCATGTTTTTTTCCTACACATACACATACATACTTACAATAAAATTTAATTTATAAATTAGGCACAGTAAGAAATTAACAAGAATACTTAAAATAGAACAATTATAACAATATGCTATAATAAAAGTTATTTTGAATGTGGTCTCTCTCTTTCTCTCTCTCTCTCTCTCTCTCTCTCTCTCTCTCTCTCTCTCTCTCTCCAAGTGTTCTGTTGTACTGTACTCACCCTTCTTGTGATGATGAAAGATGATAAAATGTCTATGTGATGAGATGAGGTGAATGACATAGGCATTGTGGCGTAGTGTTCAGCTACTATTGACCTTCTAATGATACGGGAGAAGGAGAATCATCTGCTTCAGGTGATCCTGGATCACTGAGCCATGATGATGCTGATGGTTGGATGTCAGGAGCAAATGATAATGGTACTAACAAGCGGGTAACATATACAGCGTGGATACACTAGACAAAGGGATGATTCATGTCCCAGGCAGGACAGAGCGGAATGGCAAGAGATTTCATCATGTTCAGAACTGCACATAATTTAATATTTATGCATTGTTTATTTCTGGAATTTTCCATTTAATATTTTTGGAATGCAATTGCTTGTAGGTAACTGAAACTATGGTAATCAAATCCACGAATGGAGGTGGTGGGGGTGGGGGTACTTTAAAAGCTGAAGGAGAAGAATAAAACTCTCTGTTTAGTAGGTTCCTTATCAACCTATCCAAGCCAAGTCAGCACATAATGAATCAATTAATTGTACAGACTCTGCTAGGCATGGTCTGGAATGCCAACAAAATGGAAGTTTGTTAAGTGTTTTCCATCCTTCCTTTCATTCTTTATGTAATATCACAATTATACAGAAAATTAACTCAAAAAGAAAAGGGTAAAATGTTAATCTGTTGAAAAGAAGGCCCTAAAGGCTTGATTAATCTTTTCCATGTGAATTAACTGGGCTCTCCCAGTTACCTTCCTATATATATTCTAGGTGACTAGAATGAGCTCCTCTTTCTTCTTTTTGTCTTCTTTTATTTTATTTGTTTATTTATTTTTATTTTTGATTATTATGGTTACATGTGATGTTTTGATACAGGCATTCAATGTGAATTAATCAAATCAGGTTAATTGGGGTATACATCACCTTAGGCATTTAACGCTTCTTTGTGTAAGGAACATTCCAATTTCACTCTTTTAGTTATTTTAAAGTACACCCTAACTTATTGTTGATTATAGTCACTTTGTTGTACTATCAAATATTGTTCATTCTATCTATCTAACTATATTTTTGAACCCATTAACCATCCCCACTTTATCACCCCCTCCCTGCTATGCTTCCATGCCTCTGGTAACCATCATTCTACTCTTTGTCTCTGTCAGATAAATTTTGTTTTAATATTTAGTCCCCATATGTAAGTGAGAACATGCGAGGTTTGTCTTTCTGTGCTTGGCTTATTTCACCTAACATAATGTTCTACACATCCATTCATGTTGTTTCAAATGGCAGAATTTCATTCTTTTTTGTGGCTGAATAATATTCTGTTGTGTATATGCCCCACATTTTCTTTATCCATTCATCCATTGATGGACACTCAGGTTGATTCCACATCTTAGCTATTGTGCATAATGCTGCAATAAACATGAGAGTACAGATACCTGTTCAATATACTGAATTCCCATCCTTTGGATATATACTCAGCAATGGGATTTCTAGGTCATATGGTAGTTCTATTTTCAGTTTTTTGAGTAATTTCTGTACTGTTTTCCATAGTGGTTACATTAATTTACATTTTCACCAACCGTATGAGGGTTCCCCTTCCTCCACATACTTGTCAGCATTCATTATTGCCTGTATTTTTGATAAAAGTCATTTTAACTGAGGTGAGATGATGTCTCAAAGTTTTGATTTGCATTTCTCTGATGACTAATGATGTTGAGCATTTTTTCAAATACCTGTTGGCCATTTGTATGTCTTCTTTTGAGAAATATCTGTTCAGATTCTTTCCCCATTTTTAATTCAGATTATTTGATTTTTTCCTATCAAGTTGTTAGAGCTCCTTATATGTTCCAGTTATTAATACCTTGTCAGATGGGTAGTTTGCAAATATCTTTTCCCATTCTGTGGGTTGTTTCTTCACCTTGTTGATTTTTTCCTTGATCGTGTAGAAGTTTTTTGTCTAATTTTGGTTTGGTTGCCTGTGCTTTGGGGGTATTATTCAAGAAGTCTTTGCTCAGATCAATGTCCTGAAGTGTTTCCCCAATTTTTTAATAATTTTATAGTTGCAGGTCTTAGATGTAAGTCTTTAATTCATTTTGATTTGATCTTTGTATATGGCAAGAGATAAGGGCCTAGTAATTCATTTTTCATATGGATATCCAATTTTCCCAGGACCATTTTTTTTTTTTTTTTTTTTTTGAGACAGAGTCTCACTCTGTTGCCCGGGCTAGAGTGCCATGGCGTCATCCTAGCTCACAGCAACCTCACACTCCTGGGCTCAAGCAATCCTTCTGCCTCAGCCTCCCGAGTAGCTGGGACTACAGATGCCACCATGCCCAGCTAATTTCTTCCTCTTTTTAGTAGAGACGGGGTCTCACTCTTGCTCAGGCTGGTTTCGAACTCCTGAGCGCAAACAATCCGCCCATCTCGGCCTCCCAGAGAGCTAGGATTACAGGCGTGAGCCACCGTACCCGGCCTACCCAGGACCATTTATTGAACAGACTGTCCTTTCCCCAGGACAGTCTGACACCTTTGTCAAAGATAAGTTGACTATACATGTATGGATTTCTTTCTGGGTTCTCTGTTCTGTTCCATTGGTCTATGTATCTGTTTTTATGCCAGTACCATGCTGTTTTGGTTACTACAGCTCTGTAGCAGAATTTGAAGTCAAATAATGTGATTCCTCCAGTTTTGTTATTTTTGCTGGAATGGCTTTGGTTATTCTGGGTCTTTTGTGATTCCATATAAATTTTAGGATTTTTTTTTTGTTTCTGTGAAGAACGTCATTGATATTTTGGTAGGGATTGCATTGAATCTGTAGATTACTTTGGGTAGTATGAACATTTTAACAACAGTGATTCTTCCAATC